AAGTCAGACGGTACAAGATGCGGGCTATACGGTGGATGCATTAAAACTTCTCAACCATTTCCGTCAAGATGTTCAGAGTCATCAAAGATGTGTGTGGGCCGGCATTGTCATGCGGGAACACAACTGTTCTGTTTCTATGTTTTCGTATGTTTCAGTAAAATACTATCCAGCAGGTGGGTAGAATAGGACCCCGAAGAAGAGGGGCTGAACACCTTTTGCAAAGAACAGTTTTTTGCGTAGGTGGCCTTCGGCCGCACTTAGGGATTATAACCCTCACTAAGTAGAATCCTCCTCTCTATGTGGCCGAAGAAGTGGGCCTGACCACCACCTTTTTCAGAGAACACCTTTCTGCGTAGGCGGCCTTCGGCCGCACTTAGGGGGATTATAACCCTCACTAAGTAGTATGTTGCCGAAGGGGGCCTGAACACCTTTTACACAGAACACATTTCTGCGTAGGAGGCCTTCGGCCGCACTTAGGAATTATAACCCTCACCAAGTAGAATTCTCCTTTCTGTGTTGCCTCCTTTGTATGTATTGCTTTGTACGGTATGGCAACACATGTGTCAGTTTGCAACCATGTGTTATTGTAAATATGAGTGCAATTTAATGTAATTACGAGTTAATAAAAATCACTTTATTATATACACGATAAAATAAAATAAATGTGTGTAAAATATTATGTAGTGTTATGTGTATTTATATATATGAAAGTATGTGAGAAATGCACTTTTTGATAAGGAAATCAAGTGGAACGACTTGAGGAATTTAAACAACAAATAACTTATAAACAATTGAATTGTTTATATTTTTAGTTATACATGTTTTAGAGGATACCTCCCTTAACATCCTGACCAAGTCTCATTTGTTAATTCCACCTGGTTTTCTTAAAACAAAAATATCCACCCAAAAAAGTTACCGTAATGTCGTTCTTACTTGTTATGCAGTGGTATGCAAATGTGCTAAGTCCAAAAAAACTCAAGAAAAAAATACAAACGACAAACTCGAGCAAATATTAAGATATCTCAACGAAATTTGGTATGTATCTTTATACAGGGTAGGTTGGTATTAAAATGGGCGAAATCGGACTGTAACCCCACCCACTTCCCATATAAAGGTATTTTCGAAAAATGCAAGAACTACGATATTTCAGTAAATATTGGATGCAAATTCTTGCAAATTACTAAGTGAAGTGGAATTTTAGTAAAAAATTGTTATCATGAAATTTTTGGGAAATGGGCGTGACCGCGCCCACTTACGATGTAATGCTGTATCTCAGTAGCCCATTCACCAATCCTTACTAAACTCGGTACGATCCTTGCTTAGGATCTAGCTAAGAAATCTACCATATAACGGTAATTTACAGAAACACGGAAACTACGATAAATCAATAACTACTAAAGCTAATTCACTCAAAATCGATGATTGCGATAACCGCTTAGCAGGCAATTAGATTATTGAAAATTTTTGGATAATGGGCGTGACACCGCCCACTTATGACAAATGTGTAACTCGGTAACCGATTTGTAAATTTTTACCAAACTCGGTGCACTTAATAACCTTGGTACGGAAAAGCAATTCGATGAAAATTATTCAAATCGGACCAAAAATACAACCGCTTCCCGTATATATAACGGTAAATTTCAGAAATACGGAAACTCTCTTGGACGTGGCACCGCCCACTTTGACTATAAAGGTGTATTTCGGTAACCACTTTGTCGATTTCTACCAAACTTGGTTCAATTATATCACTGAGTCTAACTCAGCATATTATCGAAAACGTTTCTTATCATGCAAAGGTAGGCTGACTTCCAAAACGTCAATTGCATGGCATACCTACAAAGTATGATGCATGATAGAAACATAACAAGGTAAAACCATTGAGAGACATCTTGACGTTTGCCAGCAATATAATTCAAAAATTTAAAACTCAAAGTTACACACACATTCCCATTTTCAATCTCAAACAACAACAATTGTGAACAATTTCATTTTTTTATTATCAATTTTATATGATTCTAAAATGCTGGTAAATGTCAGAAAAAAATCATGGCCGACGGATTGAGAGAATGAATTTACCTTGTAATGCTTGTAGCATGGTATAATCAAAATGTATTCAACAAAGTGTGATTGAATTTGACATTGCTCTCAGAAGAACCATCCTATAAAGTCAAATTGAAAAAATTTTGTATGAATTTTGAATCGATTGTTTATATTTTTTGGCATAATAGTACCTTAAAAGAGAGCCTAACTGAGTTGTCAATCACACCTTGTTTAATACACCTTGGGTATAATGTTCCCAAGCGTCGAACTACAAAATGTTGACAATGTATGTGGTTGCAATGTTTCGCAAATCTGCATATACAAACCGTTTAAATACCGCAGTAGAACGATATCCAAACATTGTGTTGATACTTTTTGGAAGTCGCCGTAGTTTAGAGAAAGTTGAAACAATATTTGATACCTGCGCCGAGTATATAAAGTTCGGTTTCGAAAAAAACTTATACTTCCTTACTTATTTTTAATTATTTTCATTTATAAATGGTACATAACTTTACGACTTCAATAAAATATATTTAAAATAAACAACTAAATCATTTAACATTAAAAAATAATGAAAAACAGGTTGATAGAAAATGTGCTAAGTCCACATTAAAAGAACAAAATCATAAAGAGAAAATGTGGTAAGTCCCAAAAGAGCCTATGAGTCTACAACAGCTTTAATTTGAAATTGGTGGTGAAATTTGAGATCAGGTGGAAAAGGACTAGGATTCACTTGGCGTCAGTTTAAACAGAAGAGAACACAGAAGAGAAAACAATGGCGTGCTTTGCTGAACTCGGCCATAATCGCTTAGGCGGTTACAGCGCCAAAAAAAGAAGAAGACCACAAGTGACAGCACATTTTTGTATATTCAGATGCAGCTTATTTGTTATACACCATTCTTTTAGCAAAATATTTCTCTTTAGAATTTCCATGTCATGATTGCCACTTGTACCTCTGAATAGCTTAGAATTTCGTGATAAACCATGTAAATGCTTTGCTCAGTGCGTCAGTGTATGAGTGTACATCTCGGACGTTGTTACGTGCATCGTCGAGTATGTTTGATGTAAAGATAAAGATTAGTGATCTCCCACCGAAGAATCCATGCTGCCTTGGAATTATAAGTTATAATTTATAACATGTTTTAACGCGAAAGTTATTTGTGGTATAACGATTTTCTCCAATAGTTTAGCACGTGAAGATTGATTAAATATTGGCCCTGTTGCCCGATTTATATATGACATTTTTGGGAAAGTAACCAGTTTCAAGAGATTTGCTAAACATGTGTGAGATTGGCTTACAGAGCGAATATCCCAGTTTCCAAGAAAAATTTTAGGTATCCGAATAGGTCTTGCGACTTTTTCTAATAACCAGAAGTTTCAATTGGCGGTATGCGTCATCAAATCGTACTTCAAATTCCGACGTTAAAACTCTAGCATTTACTTTTCATATTGCAAACTGCAGATGCAGCAGATTCATTTTATTTTTGAAAAATGATGCAAACAAAATACATTGGCACTATTACTAGCGCCGATGTCATCCGAAATCATTTTGATGGAATATCAGCATCCTTGCGGCATTTCTTTTTTATGAAGTTGCAAAAACTATTGGCGTTAATTTTCAAATCATTTTGTACCTTGTTTCGGTAACTCTGGTAACATGTGCTCAGATTTTAGTCTACTAAATGCGAGTATTTATATTAAAAATTTTGTTTCAACAATTTTATACCCGAGCGCACTTGTGCACAAAGGTATTATAACTTTGTTCACATAACGGTTGTTTGTAACAGGCAAAACTAATGGAGATAGATATAGACAAATGTATACATAAATGATCAGAATGAAAAGAGAAATCGGTTCAGCGGTGACTGTCTGTCCGTCCGTCCGTCCGTCTGTTCACACGGTAACTCGAGTAAAAATCGAGATATGTTATCGAAATTTGGTATGTGTACTTCTTTCGGGTGTAGGACGGATGGTATTGAAAATGGGAAAAATCGGGCAATAAAACCACGCCTACCTCCCATATAACGGTAATTTCGAGAAATACGAAAACTGCGATATTTTAATTACTACTGAGGATTATTTCCTCAAAATTGATATTCACAATAATTTTTAGACCAAAAATAAGAATATTATAAATTTTTGGAAAATGAGCGTAGCCACGCACACTTATGGTTACATGTGTATATCTTGGTAACCGCTGCACCAATTTCTGTGGGCGTGGCACCGCCTACTTATGATCACATATATGTATCTCGGTAACCGTTCTAAAAATTTGCACCAAACTCGGTATGGTCATTGTGCTTGCCACATGAAAGCAAACCGTTGAAAATTATTGAAATCGTACTAAAATTACGGGGCTTTTCATTTAACGGTAAATTTCAGTAACTTCGATATTTCCAAATTTAAGGACGCTAATTTACTCAAAATTGATACAGCCCGGCTTACCATGTGGCGGCAGCTTTCGGAAAGGGGGGTATTTAATGTTCGGCTCCGCCTGAAGATATTGCTCTTAAAACATATCGTCACTAGACGCGAATAAAGGCGCGCCATTGTTTTAACGCAGAAACAACTGTTTGGGGAATGTACATATTATTAAACCCGAAAACATAGTTCACCGCAAAAATAAGTTAACGCTAGGTTTGGTCGCCTTTCTTCGCTTAAGTTTTTTTTTCGAGGTCAACTTTGGAGCTCGCACCTTTTTTCGTGTCTACTAACGATATGCACTATTTTTGGTAAATTTTCACGCTTTAAGTCAAAACCCTAAGTGTTTTTAACTACAGAGTATCCGTTTTTTGTGCAAAACTTACTTTTCATCGCCAATCTGTCCGAAAATGTGCGGGTAAAAAATAAGTAATTTTACAAATACCATACATACATCACATGGGTGGTCTAAAGTATACCCAGTTGAAACGGAATGGCCCACTGGTATAAATATATTTATATTTATATTTGCTACATACTATCATACAGCACTCGTTTCATTGTTAAATTATTAGCGAAACAACTTCGCAGCAGACCAATAATCTCCAATGTTAGCAAATCAAAATGACGATTGGGATTTTGACGATTTCCCAAAGTCGCCTGAGACATCAAAGAGAATCCGGAAATACTAAGTTGAGTACAAAAACTTGAAGCTCTAGGTTGGGATCGCTGCGAGTTACTGTTGTTCAATTGCTTAAGTATCATACAAAAACCATAAACAGCCATTGATCGGATACTTTGGTCACTAAAAAATACGATTAAGGAAAGTTTTTACAAATAAACAAGAAAATCGTTTTTCTCTTGATAAGGATTATGCTAACTACCCCGAGTTAATCGCCTTACTCAACACTTCAATGAATGAGTCACGAACAATTGCGGAAAGTTTTAGAATTGGTAGTATAAAAGACATCATACGCATTGATTGTTCGCTAGGTAACTATAAAAAGGGAATGCATTTTAAAAATCAATATGTATTGCAAAGTTATTAACAATTCTTACCCACAAAAAATAACTCCATTACATACTTTATCGTCTTTACACACTCGGAAAGGGTAAAAGTATCAGCGACGCTCAACATCATTAAACACTCTGTATCCAAATATCCTCAGTTCAATTCAAAAATCATACTATTGCAATAAGAATGTACTATAAATACCTCCAAATTGATATTGATCTTGTTCTACTACCATCCATTCAGCTAACTTTTTCACAATACCTTGTCCGAATACAAAACGTTTGCGAATGAATTTCGTGAGAAAGCTCATAGCAAGTGAGTTCAATGGTGCATTACCCTTTGCTTTCAATAAAGTAAACGCCAAACTAACCAGACCTGGTGTTATCACATCTTGTCCATGCTTATTCTGATCTATGAGTACTGTAAAAACATAATCAAGTTGAACTTGCTTGCGTTGTAAAGTGTCTCGACACCACACAGAGTATTCTGCCATCTTTTGCTCATGCTCATTATTGTGTATGACATTGCGAAGGTAGTGCAGAAGAACGGACGTTGTCAGACGATGAGATTCGGGTTCACGGTTAGCAGAAGTCAATGATATTATGGCGCTTAGCATAAATGGAGTCAAAATTATATCGGGCATCGAGTTCAAATTCTGTAAATTTAACAGTTATATACATATGTATGTATGTATTAGAGGGCTGCATGACATATACAAAACGCATGATACAAAAATTTGAAGGTAAGACCGCTGAGAGGCAGCCTGAACATTTTTGAAGTTTGTTAACATATCAAAAATGTTTTAAAATTTTCAATCTCACAAACAAAGCCTCACTTTCAGTCTCAAAATTTTAATATTTTCACCCAAGGCGAATTTATATAAGGTGGTGTTACAAGCTCAGCTGATTATGTGTATGTGTTTCGCCGCACGGCTTCTGATATCAAATTGAAAAATTTTGTTTCAATTTCTACACACACTCTTACAGATTTTGACAGTTTATGCCGCCAAAGCAAAAACAAAATACATGTAAATTTTTATTTATATTAATTCGCCTTGATTTTCACCTATTTGTTTTTGGTTTTACTTTTAATTGGCATATGAGTTGTTCTGAAAAATTTCAATTTTATAAAGTAGACAAACCTAAAAAAAAATTATGGCTGACAAATTGAGCGAGCGGTTTTACCCAGATTTTACCTTTAAATATTTTTATCATGCACAAAAAACGAATGAATGATTTTGGCTTAAAAATTTTTTTAATCTGAGTGAATACCTGTTCTGATAATATGTGTCGTCATTACAATAATCAAACAATGTGAAAATAAATTGAATCAAAATAAATCACAATTTTTTATATGAATATCAAAAAATATTGTTTCTATGTACATTCATATGTACAAACATACATATGTACATATGTATGTATTGCTGCGCTCCTATTACAATGGGTAATCATTTCTCAACTGGACCTCGGATTTCAGTCAAGTTCGAATTTTTGCGTGAAAATTTGTGGGTAGAGAGGTTTAAAGATGTGAAAGGGATTCTGAAAAGTTGTTTGAAAAATTGTAATTTTTACAGTTATTATAAGCAAGTATATTTTTAAGCAATCTTTTTCAAAACTCATTTTCTCTTAAAGTATTTGACGAAAGTTGATGAAATTTTTGTTTTAAGCGACATTAGAGCTTTAAAACAAATATTTTTATAATTTAGATTTTTTTTAATTTAAACATAAATATTCAGGTTGCATTGAAAATATGTTCTCAATGAGTGTTTCCCATTTCGTTTATATTTTCGAAAAGTGCATTTATTGAAGAAAATAATTCTAAAAAAAAAATTGTTTCTGTTTTTGACTTACAGCAACATTTGTCACAGCGCGCAAGCATCGTGAACCATGCACGCTCACCGCCTATGCACCCAACGTGTTCAATAGAAAGCGCGTACAGGAGCAACTAACAATTTGCTCATATTTCCGACTTTTAACGTAACCTCATATAATAATGATAGCATTTATGGTATTTTTAAGGCATTTTTGGGTTAGATTTTGCATCGGAGGTATGTGTTAAAATAATCCTATCATTTCCATTTTTTGGAGTTCCCACACAACATTATAACCAGGGAACAGAGTTTTAGGACATAAAAACCTACAAAAAAGGGAAAATAGGCAGGAAAAGGCACTAGAGGGCAAAATAAGGTATTAAATACAGACAAAACCCGAAAAATAATCAAAAAATACATTTATTTTAGAAGTGTTTATTTTACAAGTAAAAAGAGAAAAACTGAACCATGATAAAAACATAGCAAGGTAGAACCGTTCTCTCTATTTGTCGGCCATGATTTTTTTTTTGGAGTTTGCCAACATTTTGAAATCATATAAAAATGAAAATAAAAAATTGAAATTGCTCGAAATTGTTGTTGCTTGGGATTGAAAATGAAAATGTGTGTGTGAGTTTGTGAGTAAATTTAAAAATTAAATTGTTTGGAAACGTCAAGAATTTTAAAAGTGACTCAGCGGTTCTACCTTACTATATTTTTATCATGGTATGTAGTGTATATTGTTATTAACCTATTTTCAAAGTGTGCTACAATAAACAAGATGTAGTAAAATATGAGAGTTCAAGGTTCTACCTGATAATGTGAAACGACTTTGTAATCGCTAAATCGCACATGCATTCGTTGAAGTTTTTGAAATAAAAGTATGTTGAGTTCTTACGTGAAGTTCAAGATCAAGATCAAAATCATTTTCTGTCAGATGCTCCCTCGCGTCATTTTGAAGAAAAACTTCTCACCAGGTTCAAGAAAGAGATTCTAATTATAAAAAAAAACTCTGAGAAGTTTGTTAAACTTTACTCAGGTGTCGCATTACACGATAGCGATTTTCGAGACATTGATAGGCGAGAGATTTCATCTCTAGCTGCAATTTACCTCAGAGAAGATATTCTTTTGATGAAAACTAAAAAATTACCGGATCATCTAACCGCCAGCAATTTGATGATAGGAGAATGTAGCATCCCAGATGAAGTCGCATACTTCAATCGCACTCTGCTATGCGGAGAATCTTCCAGACGGCAAAAAAGCACCAACTGTCGAAGAATGGTCGAGTCGCTGTCTCAAGACATGATTTTCAGCGTTTCCAATGGTCGAGTCAAAACAGCTAAGCATATAACTCTGGGCATGGCTATAAAGGGGTTTACTAATAGCAAAAAGATTGTCAGTATTCTTAACCGGTATGGACACTGTTGTAGCTACTCGATTTTGGAAGGTTTAGAGACGGAAGCTACCTTTTCCACGGTCAGTCAGACGGATGTTTGCCCCGAAGATATCATTCAAAGCTCAAATTTGTGCACAAGTGTTGCTTTCGACAATTTTGGCAGATTTGTTGACACTGACAATGGAAAATAAACTTTGCACGATACTGTCGGCATTATTTTTCAAAATTTGAACTCTATCACCACGAGTATCGAATTCGACGATTAGCGGATCGACCGAGAGCAACAATATTCATTCAAGAACTCCGACCGCCGGCTCAAGAAAACGAAGGCTAATGTATGATGCCGTGTCTTTAGACCTTCTCCCGTACCTGAAAAAGCCAAAAGTGGTAAAGAATTTACTCCCTCTTCGTTCTCCGCTCCGATAGAAGATTTAGTGGAAATACGTGGCACTGATTTTGCTTGGATGATTTCACACGCGTTACAACTACCAAACGTTCCAATGTGGGTTGGCTTTAACAGCCCTATTTACAAAAACGATTCTCTGCAACAAATAGTATCGTAACTTACGACCCTAAACAAATCTCCCACTAACACAAACGTAGTCCAGAAGACAATGATTCGAAGTCTTCAAGTTGCCAATGAGTGTTACGAACCATATGCCCAAGTTACGTATGACTTAGCGATAGCTAAGATAGCTTTCCGACTGCAAATCACAGAAAAGCCGAAATTCGATAGGGTGTCCATTCACTTGGTGATGTTTCACGTAATGATGGCCTATTTAAAATCCGTTGGACATAAGTAGTCTTACTAACATCATGGTAGATTCTGGACTTCTAGCAGGGAGGTCGGTGAACAGTTTTCTGACCGGCAAACATTTTAACAGATGCAAGAGACTTAATCCATTAATTTGTTTGTCTCTTGAAATTTTGCACTTCCGAAGATTCTTGATTGAACTAAATATCACAATATCGGAAAGCGAAGAGAAGTACCTGATAGACTTCATGAATAATCAATCTGACAACCCGAAAATAGATAACGGCTTTCTAAATAAGTTATTCGAAGAGTACGAGACTTACAAGGAGAAAACCATCAGCGGCACAATATTTCTCGATTTACACTAATTTCATACATTATTACCTCATGTTGAACCGCAGCGTTAGAACTGCTGACTTTGAACTTTTGAAATTCGTTCTCCCAAAGATCAATCAGCAGAATTAATCGCGGTATTCCGTTATGTACCTTGACAACTTATTACAAGTTGACTCGAACTGCCCTGGGTTGAAGGAAACATTTTTAGCCGGGTCTTTTGGAATTAAACGTACCGCTTAAGCCTTCTCCCGTCCACCTATCGATCTGACTCTTGAGCAAACGATTAACGCGGATGCTGGAAATAAATTGATTGGTACAATTCACTCCACTAACTCTCTCTCAGCGCGGTGTATCAGTCACAGTACAAGAACTAAGATAATAAGCCACGTTATAGAATATTGCGGGTTGAAAAGTCGTCAAGATGTTACTGCCGATTTGCGGAAAAATGTAATACAAAAAAGTTCAAGACAACTCAATAAATTCCTCTCGGACATAGAAAGAACTATCAACCCTTTCCAATCTGATTTAGATAAAAGGACGTTGTTTAATATCATTACCGGTAGAGCAGCATCCGAAGAGTAGGCAAATTTTTTACTCAATATCGAAGAAAACGGGAATCGACTCCGAGAAGCGTTCATTTCAGAATGCGCATTAAAAAAAGAGAGGTTCGAAAGTCCGATTAAACAAAACAAGATTTTTAGCTTCATGAGCACAGAGAAGAAGACAATTAAAATCGCGGGTAAAATCAAGGAGCTGAGAATGCAAAGGGGCCTTTTTGGGAAACTTCTTGGAATTTTCTTGAAAAAAGCTATCGGTCTCGAGAAAGCTATATCATACCCCTTGACCTTAGTTCCTTTGGCATTTTGTCACATTGACGGTGGGATTTGCAAAACAAATATGTCGCGCCTGCTAAAATATTTAGAGTCTGATGTTAACTACTCCGTGTCTTCAAAAATATATGTTATGATCATCGACGGATTTTTCTTGCTCCGCACAATGGAAAGATTACCCTCGACATTTGGAAATTTTTCCAAGCAAATTTTGCAGACTGTTTTGCATACAACTGCCCCGACAGTCACTCATTCTTTTGATCAGTATTTCACAAAATCGATTAAAGATACTGAACATTTTTTACGTGGTACAACGAGTGGAAAGCAGTACCAACTTTTGGGACCTAACCAAGAACGTCCTTCGAATTTCGGAAATTAATTAAAGAATATAAATTTCAAAGAAGCCTTTGTCGAGTTTTTGATAAAAGATTGGGAGAATAACGAAATGGCCGCCTACATAGGTAATAGAATCCTCTATGTAAATTTTAAATCCTGTGCCAAATTCCAAAAAATAAAAGACAAAGTTGCGATGTCTGAGGAGC